GAGAAACAGGAGTATGTCACAGTAAGGCATAAGTATCACCTGAACAACAGGTGTAAGTGTAATCCTTTCTTGTGGTAGCAACTATTTTCCTTAGGTGGGGAAAGAGTGATTATTGTGATGCCTGCAGGTCTGTGGACTCATTAACTGTGATGTGCTGAGCTTGAAAAAAATGCACTAGATTATCTTATACCCATTTCTCACTTCTTCACTGAAGGGTTCTAATCCCTTGTCCTGTTCTCCATGCGGGAACCTACTTACTGTAGGCTGAGACTCCTGCCCACATGATCCCAGAAGTGCTGGGTTGATAAGGTCACTATCTTAAAGCCTAAGGCTTGAGCTGGTGCTTAACATAGACTGTCGATTTATACAGCCATTTTTTCTCTTTCCTGCTTCCTTAATTAATATTTAAATATTCCAAGTGAAGTGGAATAGGTCAAACAGAAGCCATTAATGACCTCAATCCGGAGTATTCTATAGCCTATTTACTGTAGTGCTCATCTGGGGAGTACAACAGACACATCAAAATGTACCAGCTCTCTCATTTAGAACAGACTGCACTCAGGTTTCTCACATCCCAACTGCATTGCCCTAGCAACAATATTATTATTTAATAGTGAACCTCTTTTTTTTTAGTGTTGTGACTAGCCCTCTGCTTTTAATATGCACAGCCTTAAAAAGGCATTGGTCATTAAATATTTTACTTTTTTTTGTCCTGTTGGCAGAATAAGACTGTTATGCATAAAATAGTTATCAAGTAACATAAATATAGAAAATTACTCTTTTCACCTGATGAGTCTGAACAGAATTGGTTTATTTATTCGTTTTGGATGTTTAGTTTTGTTTTGTTTCATTTTTCTACTAGAGTAGTAGAAGGTGTAGCAATTGAACTGTAAAATCAAGTCTCCATCCTTAACCATGGACTCCTGTGCTTATTAAGTTTTAAGAAGATAATGCCTCAGCCCGCAAATACAAAGGGTATTTTACCTAAGCTGCGAGGACTACAAAATCACTCTGGATTCTGAAAGTCACATGGTGTTCTCCTCGAAGTTGTCACCAATTGTCAAGGTTTATTTATATTTACAAGACCTTATGGGTCTTCAGATTGTATTCTAAGTGACAACTCTGAAACCAGAGGAATAGTAAGAATCTCGGAGTTTTAGCAGTTTGGAATTTAGCAAATCAATCTGTTGATGTAAAGGTGACATTTGCGACCTGGTGAGGCAGTCTTGTGTGCATGAAAAATTGTGATGTGCAGTCAGAGGTATATATCCCTGGAGTAATCTTCTTATAGAAACATATATATATATAACTTTTTTAAGTTCCCATCCTCATTGAGAATCAATACCAATCACAGCCCAAAGTGCCAAGAGGCTCTAGCAGACATGTGGCGGTGGATTAAAATTGGATGGCTGAAATTGTAGCAGCCTTCAGCTGCACCCTCCACTCCTGTGATGGATTTGCCTCTCCCAGAGCAGGGACAACTGATCTGCTCATGAAACTCTGATCCACTGCAATGTTAATTGAAAACAAACTGACTTGGATTCAGGCTGGCTGTAATAGGGACACAGAAATTTGTCTTGAGAGAGAAAATGTTTATTATATGGATGGCAAGGATGCCTAGAAAATTTCAGCAATCTGATTTTAACCTGCTTTTAAATGTAGAACTCAATAAGCTCCATCAGGTGATTTCAAAGCAACAAAAATGCCTGTCTTTCTCAGTCCCCCACTGGGCACCTGAAGCCTCACTGACCTCTTGGGCAGGAGTTCTGCCTAACTTTGGCACTTTTCTGAGAAAAAGGAGAATCACTGCTGGCTGGACTAATAAAAACATTGTATATACATCCCCTTTCTCTCTGTTGTCTAGCTTCATAAATATTTTTACTGAAGGCTTGCAGAAAAAGTTAGAACTGGTAGAAGGTGGACAGAAATGAGCAGAGCACCTAAATGCCCAAAAGCAAGAAAGAGGCAGAGAAAAGCATGAGGATAACACCTTGGGTACTACAGTAACAAAATGCTTGTGGAGAGAGGGAGATCATCTCAGTGTTACTGCCTCTTCATATTGGAGTCATGAAATGATGATGGTATCAATATACAATCCACCCTACATGAGATTATGTAACAGCAAACAATGTCTTTCTCAGGAATCATCAGATAAAATCCTCCAGTCAATTTTGCTTATATAGGTATCTAGGGACATAAAAATCTAATTTCTATTTGCTTTAGGACATCCTATCTGGGTTTTTTTTTTCAGGCAGTTCCAAAGTTACTGTCCTGTAGATTTTGCCTGCCAGTCTTGTGAGGATGTTTTGGATAATGCAAAGCATTTAAAACAATGCTGGAGATCTTTCTTAGGCCCCTGTATCAGGAACCTCCAGCAGTATAACAATATTTTCCTAGCTTGACTTCCAGTCAAATTTGAATCAATACCTGTTCATTCACACTTTAATGAATGCCACAACAGCAATTTTTTTGTATAACATCCTGAGTTTTTAAAGGGAAATCTGACTGGACTACATCAAAAGCCAAAAACTTGTCATAGATAACCTTCTAGCATACTTGAGCTCTGTCTCTGCAGCATTGTTCTGATTGACAAATCACCAGTTACTATTTTCTTCACCAAAGACAAATAGTGGTCTGAGTTTGAAAAGTTAGGTATATTAAATAGTAAGGAACTATTGGTAGATAGCAACAAACTTAGAGGAACGACCCTTTGACTGGTAATTATAAGTCTATATCTGTATACACGCATAGAGTTTTAATTGTTTGTATTATAACTGCAAATATCTGCCACTATGATGTCCTTGAAGACATGCTGTGGTACTAATCGGATTTGTCAAGATGAGACAGTACCTTTCTATTCTCTCTCACACATCATAAACTCTGACTGATACCCCCAAGGGGAAAAAATGCATAATGTGTCATTTATGACCTGTTACATGCACAAATTACTTGCATCGTGTATGCAGTAGGATAACAAAATGCTACTGATTTTGAGTTTGACTTAGGAAGCTGATCTTTATTCTTAGTTGTCACTTGACAGATTTTTCCTCCCGCTGTGAGTTGTTTGATCTAAATTTTTTTTTTTTGGAGAAATGGAAGCAGTGATGGTTTTATAATATTTTTTTTTTAATTGTATACATTCTATCTAGATGATAGACATTATTTATAAGCAGAATAAATATTCTATAAATAAGAATAAATTTTAAATAAGTAACAAATAATATACCAATCTTGTTTTGCTTTTACAATTCTGCTGTGAGCTCTAAGATGCTTGTGCAGAAGCAAAATTAAAAGGCAGAGCTAAGGCAACTACTCATTAATACAATGCACTGCATAACAAAATAAGAAAATAAAGAATTCTAGAACAGATTACGATGTGAATTTGAAAACTCAACAGGTATGACAGGTTAAGAATTAGGGAACCTCTTCCACCAAAATTATCCTTCCCAATTTTATATGTTTTTGTCAAATGCATAAAGGAGCATTTCACTATCACGTCAGGATACGGTTTTAACTTTCTACAGGAAATGAACAAAACCAGTATTCATTAGCATAAGGATCAGAAGATTTTTTTTGGCAAAATAGGAAGGAAAAATGTATGTATATATGGTAATACTAGTGATTTTATCCTTTCTTCATTTATTTCTTTAAGAATATAAATGTGGTTCTCAAAGAGAGTATAAATAGAGGTTGTGACAGTAAATATTGGAAAGTCTTCAACAGCTTGTACCTTAGCTCCAGCAAAAATTTCTCAGTGCCTATTTGTCATTTTTTATGTCAAAAGTGAAATTGAATCTGCTTACCTTCATACAGAGCAACTCTGTCACACAGAAAATATCTTTTATAGGTTTTATCAACTGTGACAAGCAAACAGCAAGCAAAAAGCAAAGATCTCCACAAACCATGTGTCACCTGATTCCTTGAAATTTTAGATGTCCGTATGAGCAAGGGTCCCTTAAACCATTGAAATTAATTTATGCAAGACGATGCCAACAACCAGACCAACAACACAGTAGTATATATTTGAAGATTTGAACTGTGTCATACAAGAAGATATTGTAAACTAAGTGAAGATACTGTGGTCTTCTACTAATTTGAACTGTGGTGTTCGGAATACTTTTACTATTGTTATTGTATATAATGGAAAAAATTTCCCTCCCTAGAGTGTTTAGGTTATCAAAATGTATTTTATGAAGAAGATTAAGTTGAGAGCTTTCAAGTATGGTTAGGTTTCAGTTACCATAATTTTGGTTTGTGTCCAGAATTAGCATTATGTCCAGAATTAGCATTTTTAATACCTCAGATGAAGTAGGTTAAGTCACTACTGTTACTGTTCATTACTACTGTCAGCTGGTCCCTCAGCTAAGTAACATTCAACTTCCCACCAGCTTTTTATTACCAAACCTGTGCTTTCTGGAATCAAGTCTGCTTTGGCATTGTCACTTTTGTTTCTTAGGGGATTATTTAATTAAATGAAAATTCCACAAAAACAGGTATTTAAAAATCAGTTACAATCTTATTAACAACTTTTAAGGACCCTGGAAATGGAAAACATTTTTGTTTCTGTTAGATTAAATGAAGTATATATATTTCAATTGCTACTGATATGTCCTTCACAGCAGAATTCCAGCCAAACCTCAAGTGGCATAGATGCATTATTTCCATTAAAGTCAATGGAAGTTCACTTAATCACATCACCTGAGAATCTGGCCTACAGCCCGTAACAAGACAATACTTTGGAGGGTAATAATATTTTATGCTTTCATCAATCACTCTCCTAGGCCTGTAGCTATGTGTGGCAGACTCAAAAATGTCATAAAATAAAAAAGGCTGGTTGTGATTATTTGTTCCAGAAAGTCCAAGAACCTTTTTTTTAGCAATACAACATTTATATTTATTTGTAAAATTTTGATGACAAAACAATTTCAAAACAACATTCTTCCTGGCTTTAAGTCTCCAAGTTGTTATGCTGTTTTCCTCTGCTTTTTCTGCTTGTACAGGACACATGTCTACAACCACAACGATAATAGATGGTAAGAATGGATCTGTTCCTTCATCATCCATGAAAGTGGGCAAGAAATCAGTGACAGAAGACCTCGTGACAACATTCAGCTCACCAGCAGCATGGCTTCTCGTTGTTGCTCTGATTGTTACCTGGTCAGCAGTAGCTATTGTAATGTTTGACTTGGTGGATTACAAAGACTTAGCAGGTAAAACTTAGCATATTCTGTTTGACACCTTGTATATTCAACTTAAAAATTTATTAAGAAGCATCTATTACAGAAATATGTCTCACCTCCTTGGGGACAGCACAGTGTCTCTGCTGAGTTTACCAAGAGAGAAGATATTATAAGAAATGTCAGAACACATTTGTTTACACTTCATACACCTTTATAAATTAAGTCTCTCCATTTTGCAGCCCATCCTCATCCTGGAAAATGAAAATGTTGATAGTAACATAAAATATATACAAGCATGTAAGGTCAGATTTCTGTTTTCCAATCTCTATATAATTTTTTTTCTAGAAAAATGAAATTAGTATTAATTCATATTTTCAAAAATATAGTCTTTAATAGTTGCCTTGAGTATTCTAATATTTGTTTACACAGTTCAATGATCAGAAAAATGGAAAAGAACATGCTAACCCTAAAACTGATCTTCAAAAACCATAAGTACAGAGGACCAGATTCTTAATATTAGCTAAGACACACCCTTGTCTTCAATAATCTAGCCTAGTTTTAAGACTTGGCTAGATAAATGAACAAGATCAAACTTTATGGTTCACATTGATTACAGGGGACAAAGGTGAAAATGAAGTAGGATTGTGATCATACTACAAGGAATGTGGTTCTAATTGAGGAACATAAAAAAGAGAGCGGCAAATAAAAAGAAATAGAGTATTTATGCCTTTTATCTGTCAATTATATATAATGGAAAATAAACTACCTACCTATGCATGTAAAGGGTATGTAGTGTTCAGCAAGCCTTCAGTAGTAAAACCTTTGTGAGGCTAACAGCTACTAATACTTGGGAAACATATGTGAACCGGAAAAAAAAAACCAAAAAAACTATTAGGGCCCTTCTCTTCCTTAAATGAGAACTCCAGCTCTAAAGTTATCGCATCTGTCACAACAATTAGCTAGGAATTGAAATTCGGACTTCAACCTTTTAATTCAAAAGAAATTGAGTTGATGTTTTGGAGTAAATTTCCTGGACTTTATTAGTTTACTGATAAATTTATAGATTTTCTTTTGTCCTGCTATATATCAATATCGACTTCAAGATTTACTTAGAAAGCTTTTGAAACACATATAGATCTTGAAAGAAAACAACAAATTCTGGATCAATAGACATCACAGAGCTTGAAATGTGGAGAAAATGTACCACAAAATTTTCTTAAACTTTCTTCTCATCTGTCTTTGTTTTCAGAAGGCCATCTCTGCAGTACCAGGAAAACATAAAGTTATTTTTGAGACATCCTTCCAAAATAAGCATCAGATTTTAGTTTGGGCACTAAACACTTGGTGCTACAACAGAGAAACATGCTAAGAGAAACTGTTATATTCAACTTCAGTTTTTCATATTAAATGTTAATCAGTCAATCAATCAGTCAAGTTAATCAAGTTCTTAATAGATTTTCAATGAACAGTCAAGAACCAGGGCATAACTCAGACTAAACTCTTAAACTCAGAAATTTCTTAACTTGCTATAAGGTCACACATGCTCAGTAAACAAGTCAGGTTAATGCTAAGAAATAAGAATCTGTATCTGTGCCAGAGTCTGAAGGAAACTCTCTAAGCAGATAGAATTCTAAGCAGATCGAATTGTATTGGTTAAATGAGCTTAAATCTCACAAGTGTTTGTGGAAACTGCTGTTTTCAGACCAGGATGTAGAAATAAAACAATGTTAAATTAAATCTGCAGGGTGAGTTTTTATTTTGGGAAAGTCTCTGAAAGATACTTCAGTATTTAGAGCTCATGAGTTTCTTTTCCTTCCCAGCAATATTTCTGTTCCTAAGTGATTAATTAAGCCAACATTCAAATCTGGTCTTGAAAGTCAAACATTAAGAGAAGGAACTGCTGTACTTCTTTAGACCAGGATTTATAAGACTGTTTGCTGCATTTACATATATATAAGAATAGTTACATAGCTGGTATCCTAACCAATAGGTTTTCACTCCTCATTTCTTACTGTTTTTTTTGCGCTAAGCCCAGTAATTTGTAAAAATACCATGGAAATAGGTGAAGATTGTACATAGAATCATGTAGCTGGCATTATTGATACAAGAATGATTTTCACTTTTGGACAGTTTACCTACAGTGGAAGCAAATCTAAATCTAAACCTTAGTATTTTTTTGTCTTGGGTTTGATATTGTTCTTTGAGAAAACAGACCTACGTAAAAAGAGCAAACAGTTAAAATTGGGACTGTAAATTTAGTTTTGCAAGCACGATTAAAATTAATTTTCGAGTTTTCAAATGCACATGAGAGATGCCAAAGAAATTATACTCAACTGTGTGTTTTTAAATCCATAAACCACAGAAAAAATAGTGTATTTTTCCTCAAAGAACACTTGCCTTTCTTAAGCCAGTGCTTTCAATCTCTTTCCTGTTTCTCTACCTGAAGTTCCATGAAGTTCAAGTTCGGAAAGTATGGACAGCATATGAATGAGGCAGGCTGAGAGAGCTGAACTCAGCCTAGAGGAGATAGGATGGTGACTGAGGAGCAGCCTGCAGATTTTTGAAGGGCAGTTAAAGAGCTGACAGAGGATTCTGATGTAGGGGCTCGTCTAGGGACTCTCACTAAGTTTCTGTGCAAGAAGTGACCGTCTCCCTAGCAGAGCTGTAGCAGTGACTGTGCTGCGCAGGAGTGAGCGCAGCAGAAAGTGGAGCAACCTGATCTGGTAAACCAGTCAGGGAACTGTGTGGCTGAGGAACAGACATGGATTTTTTTCCTCTGATTGCACTACAGAGCTGCTAACCTCTGCAAAATATAGGAAGTGCAATGCCCTAGATTATGAGTTGCCTAGAGTACACAGAGATTCATGGAGCTCAGTAAAAACACTACACATGAGCTGAGTAGGAAGTACTTTAAACTTGAACCTGATCTTTCTTTTCCTTCAATAATTAACAATTTCACTCTCATTACCTGAAAGGTAAATAATTCCAAAAATACATAAATTATCAGTATAAGTATTTTATCTCTTATATATTCTTTTAATTTGTCGGTATGGATTCCACACTACCCTTGGTGATTAGAGTGCCAACCCTTAGACTTTGCTTCTTGATTGCTATGGTTTCACATCCTTTTAAAAGTAAACTATCAAGTTTGTGAAATTTTGACAATTTATATAAGATGAAATTTGTTCTGGAATGATATGAAAAAGAGATGTTTAATTTCACCATAAAGTAGATGTGGTAAATTACTTTTTGCTGGCCCTCTTTATTCAGCGTTTGTAAAGAAGTTTATAGAACTGAGGGAGGCTGAGGAAGCTTAACACTTAGAGTTTAGGTAAATGAATTTAGATTACGTGAATTCAAGCTCTGCTCACAGCAAGATTTAAGACAGTTTTGTATAATTTTACATATCCAGAACAAGATGGCTGTAAATTCTATAGCACTCTGTATTATTCAGGAGGTGCTGGTTATGACATAAAATATAACAGGGTGTAAAGCATGTGTAAAGCTTTGCTTCCTGGGTGGTTATGTGTCTGTTTAGAAGTTGGGACAGGGATAGAATCTACAAGTTAGCTTTAGCTTTAGCAGTTGATTTTGAGGAAAATATGAGACAAGAATTAGATCTGTACTGAAAGTTTCACTCCTATTCTATTTACCCATAAGAAGGAAATTAAATTTTGCAATGTTGTGCTTTAGTGCATTATGCTCAATCCTTTGAGGAATCAAATGAAAGCTTGCATTCCTATCATGCTGTACTGTACAGCTATGAAAAACTATGAACAAGACTGAAATATTTCGAACATGGTATGAAGGTGACATGCATTACAAAAGCTTGAGAGAAGAAACCACAAATCTCATGCAGTACACAGTGTGTATGAATATGGAATAAGTAGTATATCACATTGAAAAAGCTCATATATTTTCAGAAATGAAAAAAGTTAATTTTGGTTTAATGTGTGCTTTGCAACAGTTCATTACTTCCATCCTTTGTGTTAGAAAACACACTTTTTTAACAGGCTTCATAATTCATGCATGTATTTCATGCATTTCTTGTACACATAACTGGATTATGTATTTTAATTGGTAAATGCAACTCAATAATTTAAGATTACTTTAGTCCTTGATTGCCCAGGAATATATATTTGCTAATGGGCTAATAGAGCATTCAAAATTCCCTGCCATCTCTGTGACCAATTACAGCTAATTAACATCCCCCTAATTTCAGATCCAGAGTGTTCAATATTCAGAGTAAATTGACAGTGATTTAGCCAGTCACCTAAAGGCCAGACTAAATCAAACCTAATGAAGCCTCACCAAATCTATGAAACCCAAAATTACCTACAAAATAATATAGGTGAAAATATATAAAACACACACAGACACACTTAGTAGAATGAGCTTGCTATGTTGTTTTAATAAGTAAAATATCCCATGGGTACGCTCTTTGTTGGGCCTAATTTGTTTTGCTCAAATAAAGAGGCTTTTTAGAGACCTGTAGCGAAGGCAGACCTTTGTGGAGGTAATGCCTTTAGAAATGGGAAGTTAACAGTGCATGGAGCTCCCATCCAGTCAGATGCTTTTTAAAATTATATATCTCTAATCTTTTTAAGTTAATGCAAAAAATCTGGCCAAATGTTGTAGTGCTTCCCATACTCGCTTCTGAATAACACAGTCTGAAGTCATAATTTCCTTGCTGAGCCTGTGGTCATTTTTATTACTGCCTTGTAGTCATAGATGGATTTTGTCTGGCCTTGGGGAGTACATAATAATTATAAGGAATATGCACATACATTTTTCTTCTGCAATATCATCTCACTGCAGCTACCCTGTTGGGCTAATGTTCACTGGAAAATTTTAAGAACTGCAAAAAGAAGGGCATACCTATTTTTGCTTTTGTTTTTTTTGACTATATATACACACCAGTTTTTAAACTGAAAATATATTTGTGTTTAGTCAGGAAAAAGAATGAACTCTGGATTAGTTTAAACAACTAGCAAACTTAATGGAACTTAATATAATTTTTTCTATTTTTCAAACATGCAAAGCCTTAGAAAATCCTCCTTCTCTGAAGTTTATCAAAACAGTGCTATAGTCTTCTGAAATATATTTTATATCGTATTTATAAATGTCAATTCAAAGCATGATTGAACAACTTATTTGTTTCAAAGTTCTTAATGAAGTTCTTAATTTAATTATATAAGACTTCAATTAATGTACCTAAAACCTACAAAACATTTTTTTCTCTCTTCTATGAAAAAAATCTTTTAAAGGGATTTAAGACCAATTCCTGTTTAAAGAAGGGCTGCTCCGATGACATCTGGTTTCTTATGTTTCAGTCTGCAGCAGATTTCATAGCTGAGTTATAAACTCCTAGAAAATGAGTTTATACTGAAAAGAATGACAGTCTATGAACTATTGCAGTATTGCACGTGCTGCTTTCATCCCAAAAGGTCCAGTGTATTAAAGATAATAAATTTTGATAGATCAAACTTTGCAAGGTTATGCAGTTGAAAATATGAATTCCAGAAACTGTCTCAATGTATAGGGAAGAATCTAATAGGAGAATTCATGCTTAAATATGCTTCACGGCACACAAAATACAAAGCAAATTTTCAGTGTATAATGGTATTTGTGAAATTTCTAATTTTAAACAAACAAATCAAACCATTAATTCATTCCAGTAACAATTGCAGTGATGCAATCCTTTGGTTATTTTCTGTTGAAGAAATTGAAGTCTCAGCTAGAATCACCTATATGTAATATATTCTTTTCAGCAATAGAATTTGTTTGTGACTTGTGAAAATACTGTGCATATTTTGACCACATTTTTACCTTGCTGTGATTCACACTGTATTATCTCACATCTACAGCATACTGTTTCTCTTTTTAATGAACTCAAATTTCTGGCACATAACAGGAGCCCCATAGAGATTAAACAACTCCTCACTTCACTCCTTAAGTGTTTCCTTTAGCCAAGAGACAGCTGAGAACATTCATTATTGCTAATGGTGTTTGTTTTTTTTATTGACCTTTCTGGGGTTCATGCTGTTGCCATCAGGTATAGCCACCTATTCACAGCACTGCGATGATCCCTGTTTCCCTCCTGGTAAAGACCTTCTGCCTGCAGTGTTCTGAATATGTGTGTGGATGATAACAAAGCATGGGCACGAGCAGAGGCCAGCACACTGCAGCACTGCTTCTCAGCTAACCCCAACTCAGCCTGGCTGGGGCTTGCAACAGCCCATTCCTCATTTTCTCATCATGCTTGAAGTAGATCTGACAGCTAAGAGATGCCCCCAGCCAGGAGAGTCCCAGGAAATGGTGTCAAGCTGAGGTACTAATTTTACACTTTTAATACCCTTTAGGGTATTACAGATGCCCTTACAGATCTGAAGATCTGTGTTCCTAGTCAGAGAACTGAACCCATAGAATGAGAAAAAATACAGCTTCAAAATACTTTAGATAAAATGTGTTTCAGAAAACACCACTTAATGAAGATCTGAACTATCAAATCAAAACCTTCCTGCTGATATCAAATCCAGTCATATAAACTACACTTAAAGCCCACCCTATACATACACTCCTACCCACATGTAGGGCTATATCAAATGGACCTGAAATTACTTGGTGAGAGTTTGTGAATTTCTTTCTAAATATTGGCAAGTAAATTCTAGTTATAACTGCTTCTTTGTTCACTTTCAGATGAGGCTTTCTCTATGAACTTGACCTCAATATAATTATCCAAGGTTGATATTAGAAAGAGACAGCCACAGGCTGTTAATATTTACAATATATGTACTTATTAAATGGACATTACTGAGAAAGCTGACTCTGCACTTTTTTGACAGTTTTCATATGTAATATAATTAAAAATTCAATTGGTATTTTTATACTAATAATTCAGTGGTAGCAACCAGAGTTTTACCTATTTATGGCTTAGAGCTATAAGCTTGACAAAAATGTTAGTCTATGAAATAAAAGCGTAAGACCTAAGGACAGTTATGTTGATAAACTGGAATGGTACTAATAGGAAACTATGTGTATATTGAGTTTAGTATCTTAGATGCTACTTTTCAAAAGATTAAAGAGTAGAAAGAAAGTAATTTACAAATATATAAACTTTGAAATTAAAATATAGGTCTCTATATTTATAGTAGAATATTTAACTACAAATAGAATATGTTTTATTACCACAAGCTAGTGGTTAGGCTTTTGTATTGTATCAAACACAACAGAAATTCTCTGTCTTCATCAGCTGTACCTTGTCAATGTCAATGAAGTAGTTTATATCTCATAGATCAATCTTTGCACCAGATAATTACTATCATTTGTAACTTAATTGCATTCAATTCACTGGAGTCAAAATATGTAATTGATGAAAATCCAACATGTATTAACTAATTTTCTGCAATTCATTAAAAAAAAAAAAGGCCACCTTAACAGAGGTTGAACTCTGAGTATACATTTATCCATTTGACAAGCAAAAAAGATTGATAGGAAACTACATTTCTGGCAGAGTTACTAAGATGAGAATAATGACTGAAGTGATTTGCACAGATAATCAATTAGTCACTTTTTGTTATGCACTTTGCAGGAAAAAAAAACACAGACTCTTAAACATAACCAAATTTTCTTGAGTGGCTATAGCAAATCATATCATGTGATTACTCAATTCTTGTATCCAAACATCACTATTAATGTATTATCAGTCCTGGTGAAAAAAAAGGGATTTTCTGTTCAAAAATACTTAGTCACTTTATGAAAATTACCTTCTATCTTCTTGTTACCAAGAACATGCCTAATACCAATTGCAGGACTTGAAATCTTCATTATTGCCTGGTTTCAAGGAGTTGTGTTAAGTGTGAGTTATTAATTACCATGAAGATTAAAAAATTGATTTTAAAATCATTTGGAATTAAGATTGTGAGCCAGAGAGACTTCAGAAATGAAGAAATTAATTGTTCAGGACTGTTCTGACATTTTTAATCAAACTACTGTTTCTGTACCTGTAATGCTAGAGAGCCACAAAGAATCGTAGCCTTTTATGCGCTGCTTCAAATTAAGCAGGGACTTTTCTAGAAGTATTTAAAACCAATAACACATATGAAACTACCTCTTAAAAAATTATTTTAAATATATTTGCATATGTTTAGTACAGAAAATCCAAACAATCTTCCAGATATCTCCAAAAGCTAACAAACATTCTCCAATCAAATTCAATTGAGTTGTCCTAGAATAAGATTTCTTTGAAAGGTAATATACAAATTCCTTCCATTTGATTGAAATTCCTCCTCTGTCATCTTTAACTCTTCTAAATGTCATAATTTCCCAGAAGGTTCTGGAATTCTGATGTTTCCTCTGAAAACAAAACAACAAAACTGTTACTATGCTCACAGGAGTGAACATGCCAGCACAAGAAAGAAGAAATTTTCCTGATCTGAAAAACATCTCTTATACTATACCAAGTAATAAAAGACTTTGACAAACAAAATGTTCTGGCAATGCATTTTTGTGGAATTGGTGTTGTTCTGGAATGTAAATAATTTATCAAGGGGAATATTTGTATAGACCTGGCATTAATTATGAATGTAAAGTTACAAATCTAAGTGCTTAGCCAAAGTGCACAATAACAAGAAGGATTTAATTCTGAAACAGCATCACTAGCAGGGTCCATGTCATATACCTCAGTAATAGGAAATTAAGGTGACATGTCCATGCTAATTTTCAGACTTCCTTTCTAGTCAATGGAAAGGAATGTGTATCTTTGGAAATTAATTCATGTAACCCTAAAACAGATTTCAGAGGGAAGAGAGACACTTGTCTCCTGAAGGTCGCAATGTCTTTCTGGCTTTTGAGGGAGTTTAGGAACACCAGGGATTAAGTATCCTTCCAGGTATATTTCGCTAAAAGAATAATCTGTTTTTAAACCGTGATTAAAGGTAATTACATAGTGTCAACTAAATTCTTCAACATTAATTGTATGTTTCACGTCTGAACTTTACCTCCTCAGAAACCATTTACTTCCTTTCCCCTTCTTCAACACGCATTTATTAATTGTTTACTATTTAATCTAAGACTAAAAAGTTTGCTCAATTCCTATTTAAAAGTTAAACAAAAGCTTAAAATTCACAAGTCTGTATCTATTTGAGAAATATTCTGAGAAATATTCTGAGAAATACCCTCTTTTAAGTGCAAAATCCTGCCACCTCTTCTTCCAGAGCAATGAATTTTATGTGGTATATGATGTAATAATTGCAGTTTAGATCAATTATATTAATCTATAAAATATTAATAATAGCTGTAGATTAGTTAAAAATTCTATATTACACTCCATATGTTAGCAAAGGAAATCTATTGTGAGCTTATTTTTTAAATAATTAGTCTCCTAAGATTTGCTAAGAAATGAGAAGTTGGGTAGAAGACTGCTAATCCAGTCAAATATGTTGACTACAAGATGTTTGTAAAAAATCTTATCATGCTTTCAATTGCTGGACATCTCTAAATTAAAAAATATGAACATCAAACTTTGTTATAAAAATCAGCATTCTTTCAGCTTCACTCTTGAGTATGCAAATTTTCTGGAAATGGTTGTCCCTATTTGCACGTGTGTGAGGTAAATTGAATCTTTCTCTGTACTTGCTAACACAAAAATTGTTTCATTTCCTTTATATTTCATTCTACTAGAGAGCTTGTAGCACCTGGTGTTGTCAAAGTTGTTGGGAAAATTAAAAGTATGGATTTAATCAGTCTTAATTTTCACTTCAGCACTACTTGGTGTGGTTTTCTTAAGAATTTTAGAACATATCATTACTATTAGCACTACTCTTAAAAATGTTGGAAATACAACACAAGTCAAACAGAAGATCTGTGCAAGAGGACATAATTTTCCAGGTTTGTGCCACTTGCATCAGACCTCAATTGAGCTTACAGTATTTTTTGAATACAAAATTTCATTTTGCAAATACCAATAAAGTGTCCTCTACTCAGCTCTAAACTGATTTTTCTAAACTTTTTATGTTAAACAGGATTTGCAACTTGTACCTGTTAGCATAGGCATGACTGGACACACAATTTTGCCTCTGGACACTTGTAACCTCTAATCCCTTTTCATAGTGTGGTATGAAGATGTTATGAATTAAAGACCAGGATATGATGTTGAAGACTGATTCATCAGCAAAGATGGCTTGCCTTGGGGTGGTTGGAATAATTTCCTCTGCTCTTGATCTTGCACTTCTCTGAGCATTTCCCTTGCCTGCCCAGGGGGGACAGCTCTGCTACCTGTGAAGCAGAAGCAGTTCTTGAACTGCTAGTTGATAGACCAGTATATTAAAATAAATTTACACCAATTCTTGTTAGTTTATAGCTGTAGTCCTTGCAGCTGTAAAAACCTGTGGCTGTAAAAGAAACTGAGCCCTCCCTAACCAACCAGGGGGTAAAAGGAGGGTGGATACCCACACTGAAAATAAAGGCAGCTCTCCAAAGTTAAACCATCCCTGCTTGTGAATCAAAATCTTGATTATGCTAAGACACCTCTGGCCATGTCTGCTCTTAGTCCACTTTGACTCCTTAGCACTTCTAGATTAGAATAAAGTGTAAATGGCATCAGGGGTCAGATCACCAATTTAATCTTTAAGAGCCTAAGTATAGGTATTCCTTCTCCTTGTTAACACTTGAGAAAACAATTTGTGGCAAATCACTTGAAAAAATTAAATTTCTACATCTCAATGCATGAAGACAATGCAAATAAGTGTCATGCTAAGCAAAGTAAATATTTGCTGGTTTACTATTCAATCTTTCTTAATAAAATAGTGTGCATAGTAGTTCACTAAATTATTTTCTTTACAGCTCTGTCATTGCATCATGTTGCACTTTTAATTTATTTGATGCATCTGATTGTTCAGCAGCACATACCTATATAATACAATATTCACAAAATATTAACTACAATACTTCTTTGCATTATCAACAAGCAGATGCAAACCAATAGAAAGCCTGGTCTCTCGTGTTTCAGAATAATTAATTATAAATAAAATGAAGATGCATAGTGATGCATTTATATTTCAAATAAAGCTACATCTAAGTTTTGTTACAACACTTTAAGAAAATAGCTGTTCGTACTGCTGTCACAAAAAAAGTTACTTTAAGCCTGCACCTTGCATGATTTCTAGCCTGCAAGTCCATGTGAGACTGCATCTGATTAATGCTGAGATTTGGCTTGTGAGTCAGAACACTGCAATCAGAAGTAGTTCTGAAGAGACTTGTCTTTAGCTTCCTACTAAAATATTTACTTACAGAAAGACAACAGAGGTATGATTTCCATCTTGATAATGTTAAATCCAGGATACCTGTTTCTATCAAAACTCCTGGGGGCAACACTAGGCCAAAAGTTCAAATCACAATTGTAGTTTACCTTCAGTCATTTGTATTAGTGGGAAAGCTTTGCACAGGCCAGGCAATGACTCAGTCTGCAGTTTCAAGTACAGTGGGCAGTATCGTAGACTGAAGGGGGTTTTCCCTCTTCCTAAGCAATGTTTGGTACAAAGTTCAAGAAAGAAAATTGCTGCACAGAATGGTCAGAAGAAGAAGCCTGTCAGAGATGGGAAAGTCTCTCTGAAGTAATGTGTCAGGTACAGAGAAATCTGGTGAAATCCCAATTGGAAAAGCCTTTAAGGGAGGACTGGTATAACCCACTGATGGCTGCACTGCCTGGGCGTGGATACAGTGGGGAGCAGAAGTCTCACTTCCATCAGAGGTTCCAGGAAGGTGGAGGATATGAAACTGCACAGCTTTCTTGTTTCACAATCTGCTTGTCTAAAGGGGCAGTGAGACCAGAATAAGTTAAGTATGCACACGTGCACACATGTTATGTGAAAGAAATTCTAGAAAAGTCGTGAGAGAAGAACCAGAATCACAGGAATACGTGTTTGAAAGCAGCTATCTCTATCCCACTATCTGGATTTGTATCCCTGTTTGTTCTGAACTCAGGTCAGTTTTGGCCTCAGTATGCACAACTTTCTTCTTCCCATCCTGTATGTGTGGTCCATGACAATGACGTGACCTGTCTGAGCAGCTAACCCGAGGCTCAGCAATTTCTTCAGCCAGGACTTGTGTGAAAGAAGGAGCTCAGCAGGGAGATATGACATGAGTGGGACTGAATTCTAGATGGGCATCAAGAGGCAGGGGATCTGAGTCAGATTAAAAACTGAAATGAAGTGATTATCTAAATATTAGAATTAAATGTGTATTTGTATTTTGCCCAGCCAGGAGAGCCAGAACTTGGAGTACAACATTAAACCAAATTGTACACTAGGTCCTGAATCACTCTGTGAACAGCAAGTGCAGTAAGATACAGTATATACCAGCCTTCCACAGGAAGGAGAGCTGTCCTCAAATGCTTGAATAATAAAAATTAACATTCACATTCCTTTTTTCTGCTAAAAGAGGTAGTATAATTAGTCCTGTATAAAATGAAGATGTACTTTTATTACTGAAGGACTTTTTTGGTTTGGGTTATTTTTTCAAATCGCTTTTGTTTTAAACTCTGCACTCAGGAAGATCTGTTCACAAGCTCAGCACAGAACCACTGAGAATCATTCATGAGACACTGGAAGAGTCTTCTGATTGGATTTATGGCTTTTTTTCTTTACTGTCTGACATCGTATGGAGTGATGATGATGAAAGTGATGAAGGTATTTGTAATGTAAAGACTTCTGTAACTGCTCTAACTGCTGTTTTACAAGCATTAAAATGGCTTACTCAGCTTTTAACATCACAGACAAAAAGGTCAAACAAAAGGGAAAAGTGAACATTGTTGCTAATAAAGCCACTGGCTATTCCAATCAGTAAATTGGTCTCTTTATTAGCTTTCATCTCATGTTTAATGTACTATTACAGAAAAGCTGTCGGAATTAAATATTATCATTAGTACACCTTGAAGAAAAGAACATTAATTTATATACAACTTCAAAGCCACAACCAAAATATGCATCAGAATATTGCTTCAGAGAATGGAAATGGCTACGTCTTTTAATCAGCAAGAATCTAAGGAACCCTGGAAAATATACAAGATACATCAAGAAATTTAGAACTTTTTCAATTTGACATATTGATAATGGGGCAATATATTGAAATGTAAAAAAATATAACATTTCAACTGAACTTACATGATTTTGGACGGTATATTGCAAATAATTCAGTTTACTAGAAATTATTTTGCCATTATGGTACAATTCTTCATCTGACATAACCAGATAAATGAAAGTAACTTACTGATATTTTGATTTTGGAAATAACTCTCCTGTTAATAAAAAAACAAAAAAACCAAACCAAAACAACAAAAAATAGTTCCCCTGTATGGGCAGAGACTGCTCACAGTCAGTAGTGGATCATCATGTCACATCATATTGGTCATTCTGACAAGCGATAAGTTTAGGAGTGACATCTTCATTTCATGGTAGTTTATTTCGTATTCCATTTGGCTACACCAGAATATAATTAAAAAGTGATGTGTACTGAAACTGACTTCTACTCATTTTTTCAGAAACCTGAGATATTACCCAGTGTTAACTTTTAAATATGTGCATGAGCTTTTTATTTAGCATTGTATATGAATGCCAATAGAGAGGTTGCTACATGTGAGTCTGTGAATTGGGCATCCTATTCTGAGATATGATTTATAACTAGCAGAAAGCCAGTCTCTCCTAAGGCTGATAATCAGAAAAGGTAAAAAATAGAGAGCCTGGTAAAATTTTACCAGTGTGCATTTTTAGCATCTCATAACTCCCAAAGCATGTGCAAACTTTCAAACACTCGACTGTCTAAGTGCTAATGGCAGTAAGAAAACTCATAAAATACTTGACAGTCAAAAATTCAAGACCTGATGTTCACTAGATTTGGAAACATTAGCTCTGGCAGTGTTTTGCCCAAGTGGAATTTCATCATCAACCAGGAGTGTGAATAGGCAGTAAGGCATCTTACTGCACTATATCATAAAAACTAAGTGCTTTGTGCACCCTGCCCACTCTGTGCTGTAGTCAGTGCAGCTGAGGCTGCACACTGGCCAGGATCACTGCTTCAAATTCTGTGTCTTACATGGAAGTGCAATAACATATTGCAGCAATCAAGTGCTTATAGTTAGACTGAAATGGATTATTTTTTGCCTTGGGTTTCACTGGAAGCATTGCTAGATTCACAGTCTTGTTAAATTTCATATGTAATTTATTTGGAATTTAAAAAGAACCAGTGAGCCTTCCCTTAAAATGTGGAAACAAGCATAAAGTAAAGGAAATTTTTAATTGTAGGCACAAATTCACATTCAGAAGCATAAATAGAGATTTGGATATTTCCTTAGTTACAACTGCACCTTAAATTTATCTACCCAAAACTCTATGGCAAGTTAGATTTTTAATGAAAAATACAGAATCTCAGAATAGATGCTTGTCATTTAGCATATAAAGAAGAAAAAATATTTTTGAAATAAAATGAACCAACATGAAAAAATGCATTGTTTCTTAGTTTTTGTTTTGTTGTTTGGTTTTTTTGTGAGTTGTTTTGGTTTTAGTTTTGGTTTTTTTTTGGTTTTGGTTTGGTTTGTGTTGGGTTGGGTTTTGTTGGTTTGAGTTTTTTTTAATCTTTTCTCTGATACCTGTTTTTTTTTCTTGGTTTAGGTGAAGTGGAACCTTCCCTGAAAAAAGGTCAGTCAGCTGCTTAATAATAAAGGGAAAATATTTTGTAATCTTTTTAAGAATTAAATGTAGATCTGTGATATAAATTCTGACATTAGTTCCATTGTCAGTCTACTAACTTTTTCAGTTGTGCTCTAGCAAATCCCTTAAATGCAAATCACAAATAATATTTACTGAGCTGTTTGTTGTAAGAATTTGAAAGGATTCTTTACTATTTCATTATTCGTTGTTATATAATTATTACAGAAAATATGAAAAAAAAATATAAAAATAGAATTACAGAAATGTTATTTTTATACTTGTCATGCTTGTGGGACATCTGTTAATGCAAAGGAGTTATATGTATGTCTATATAGAAATAAAGTTCAGGAATAATAATATGGAAAGTATATTTAGTGAGAAATAATGATGAGGTACTGTCAAGCATCTTACCTGAAGCCAACACAGGCCTCTAAAGTAAGGACTGCATCCTAATCTTTTGAAAAAATTATTTAGCTATCATTGAATTTTTAAAGCAGACAAGTGAAGGAAGTAGGACTTATATTATAATCTTTATGGATATTGAAATTGTTTTGTTGAAACATAAAATTTATATTCAACTTCTATTAAATCAAAATGCAAATGTATTAGAAGGCTGGAATTACTGACGATAGAATGTAAATATTTTCAAAACTAGGGCATATTTTTTCTCCATATTGAGCAAAACTGAAGAATAGTAAGCAGTCCTATATGAACTGAATTTGGCATCCATCAACTTCTCAAGGGGTAAATGCCTATATTGAAGAATCTATCACCCAGTTGCTTCTGAGATTACAATCCAGTTTTCTCTGAAGTTAAATAGAATGGGATCAGGCTAATATTTAATGAAATATTCTGTCAATCTCAATCTGTAATCCAAGAAATTAATAGGCTTGAAGACCAAAAGCAGTTATCTTTCCATTGATGATTCCTCATGTTAGGAAAACTTAAAGACAGTGTAGGAAAAGATTCCCTCTCTTTACTTTGTCTGTAAGAACTGTAAAAACTTCAGTTCTGTCTCTTTTCCCATAAAGACAGGTACATTTTTAATTTTACAGGAGGTGCACAGAGTCTGAAACTGTAGCACATTGTTGGCAAGGATGTGCACGGGTGGGATTTGTCTTCTCACCACAGGCAGGTATAGGGCCCAGGCTGAAAGTGTTGTTACTGAATGGCTAGGAGGGCATAATCCATAAAAACACCACGCTCCACATTGCAATCCCTTCTTCTCTGGAAATCAGTGACATAGACCTTACCCATTGCTTTGGGACAGAAAGATGTAGAAACAGAATTCAGAGAAGCCATCTAAACAAGCTCAAGCCTACCTAAATTATAAGCAATTGGAAATTACTGTATAGTTGTTTGGACCTAAAATTTCTCCATCCAACGAGCTGAGTATCTAACTGCCTGTTGGGAATGTTTTCCTCACTATCCTGGCTCTGGACATATATCCTGAGAGGGTCTTCTATCTTTGGTATAAAGTAAATGGACAAGAACCTGGTGATTTCTCCAGATCTGGTACCTTACAGAATTATGCAGCCACACAACTGTGAAAAGGCCCAAATTCACACATGCTTCACCTTCTAGAACAGTAAAACAAATTTAAAGTGGGCTTTTCCACTTCCTGGATGTGTGCTCAAGCTTCTCCTTCTGTCTTTTAGAGTATAAGCATTCTCATCCTTGTCTCCCTGCAAAACACTTTCTCTTGACTGTGCCTGCTGAAGACAGTGCCCCTTTCTGTCATAAGTAATGCCATAAGCCTTCACATAGCAACATCCTCAAATAACTTACCATCTCCAGGTGACTGGAGGTCTCCATTTCATCCTGGCACTTAGGATCTGGCCTGGTTTATACTTGATTTTGTCACCTCTTTTACTGAGCTACAGAAATACAACATAAATGGCCTGAAGCCACGAGTCCCTCGGAAATGCCAGTGCAGAGTACCACATGTGTCTCCTCAGGGACTGGTGCCTCTCGGCCCCTCAGAGTCGTTCCTGTCTCTCTGCAAACTTCTAAAACTGTATAAACATCAAGGAGCTTAATTGCCAGAGTGTTGGAACTCAAAATGTCCGTCAGACATTTTCAGAGGTTCCAGGCCTTGGTCAGAAGCATTTTAGACCCTGGCAAGCAGCTGGAAACAGCTGTGATTTTGAGTTTGAGCCATGGAATGAGTTACCAACTTTGAAGGTGGACCAAGCGGTCACAGAGGGTTAGATGGTATAGTAAAAGTAGTTACAAATTAGAGGGGAAAATTTTTTAGTATTGTACAGGGGGGTTTTAACACCTGTACAGGGGGGTTTTTACTTTGTACAGGGGGGTCAGGAGTTCTAAGATGGAGGAAAGTGGGCCTGATCCTGTTCCTCCTTCTTCTTCCTTGCCTCCATGTTCTTGGTGATGTTGGCACTCACAGATTGGTTTAGAGTAGAAAAGCACATTGTAACATAGACAGTAGGTATTGGGGAAAATCTGTAAACATATAACACGTATTATATCATATAAAAGATAGCAGCAGCCCTGGGTGGGGAGAGACGACGAAGACACAGAACAGTGAGGGTGTCAGGAGTGTGTGTGTCTCTGCCTGGGCCGCTGACCAAGGCAGCTGCAGTGGGCGAAGACAATCTTTTAGATAACCAGCAATGAACTGCCTTGAGACTGAACAACAAGAGGCTGCGGAGTTTTTCTTTGGAAGCAAAGGTTGGAGGAGAGAGTTTACCACCACATGAGACCCCTGAATCAAACCCGGGGTTCTCACACCAGAGTCTAAGGCTTATCAGAAGTTTTCTGAGTGCTCTGTGGTGTAGTTTAGTGAACAGCTTTTCTGTTTAGGAACAGTGAAATTCTCTCCCAGAGCCGAGGCTCGTGAGCACAGAAGACAGAGCCCTGGGAGGTGAACTGGGGGCTCAGGTGAGCTCCTGCATGTAGCGCTCACAAACATCACAATCTGTTCCCCCGAGCACAAGGTGCACATCTATCCAAGTAGCTTTTCTCAACTAATTTGTGCTGTCATTTACATGGCCCATAAATAAGACTTCTGGAATAAAAGCTTTCTAAAACAAAACAAAACAAAACAAAACAAAACAAAACAAAACAAAACAAAACAAAACAAAACAAAACATTAAGACACAGAATTGGTGATTTTTCTATGTTGCTGCTATTAGGGCTGGACCCAAAAGAGGATCATCTATACAAATAGATCTGGGGATTTTTGAGTGTCAAAACGTTAGTTTTATTCATAAAATTAGAACCAAATTTTTTGGTTATTGAGTTTTCTCTGCCTACTTGTAAAGGGCCATTTCTGCACCAAAAGCCCTTCTAGTCTGAGCAGTAATTTTATCTGTAGCTATATGAAGAATCCTTCTCTAGGCATTTGAACATTCTAAACAAGAAAAAAGAATACCAGTGAGATTGTGCAGTACACTACTGCTGTCTCCAGAATATGAACAAATTTATGTTTTTTCACATTTTTGTGGAAAATCCCTCTCAAATTTCACTCTGGAAATGTGCACTATGGTTGCTGTGCCTGATATTTAAGCATTTGTATTGGATCAAACTCACAGTTATTGTGGTATTCATGAATAGAATAAGAATTTTTTTTAAATCTCCATGTCTATTTTACTGAATGGACAAGCCCTCACTCTAGCATCTTTTTTGAATGCTAAAATGTTTGCACAAAATATACTTTATATTGGAATATATTAATTGAAAAATGAGATTACTGATATCACAATACAATTGTATATTGGAAAAAAAATTCAAGAGGAGTGGCAAGGACATTGTCTAGCCATGAAAGAGGAAAAGTCTAATCATAATTATGATCCCAAAGAGAGCAAAGATCACTTTCCTAGAGATGTAAATTAAAAGCAAAGATAATAGAAGTACAAGTAATGACAATGGACTTCCACAGGCAATGGCATTAATATCAGTTTCAGAAGCCTTTGAAGATATGAAAATATCTCTCAAGCACCTTTTTTTTCTTGCAATTATATTTGCCAGTCCAAGTCTTATCACTAATATTTATCTTCAATAATTTGAAAAGAATGAACATTTAATATTGTCTGGCAAAGCAGTATTCTTCAGTGGACATAGTGAAAGATTATTCTGGAGGCGACTTTGCAGTCTTTGACAACGCATATTCTCAACATCCAAAAACTATTGAGCATTTTCACAAATGACAAAGAATTTTAATTCTTTCTTTCAGGCTTAATTTGCTTTTAGCTTCAATTTTTTTCTATAATAGTTATGAGTGATAATCTTGTTCATTTTTTCAGGGTTAGTTTCACCTTTAGAGACATAGTCTAATATTTGAGAGCTGTATGCTTGCATGTTTGTGCTAGAAATTATTGCTATAAAACAGCAAAAGTGGGGGGTTTTTCTGTTTGCTTGTTTGTTTTTTTGTGGACACTACTGGCCTCAGTTGTGAGTTTGGAAAAGAGTTGAGAAAACACAAAATTGGAAATAAAGATGTGTAAATAGTAAAGAAGTACAAACACTTCAATATTGAAAACCATGCCTGAAAAGTCTTTATTAAACTGTAAATAATTTTAATTTCTATTAATACTATTCAATTAAAAAGCAGAGAAAGAAATAAAGCACCATTGTGACAGTTATCCATCTCTGTGTTATTGAAAATTTTATTATTGGCATAAGATTATTCTTACCTACAATCAAAAGAAACAGTTCCTTCAGGTAGAGATGGATCTCTAATTTTCTGTGAGTTAGTCTATATGTGAGATACAAAAATATGTTTTTGACTTTTTTCTTAGAAAACTGTGATTTAAAAATCATAAATTATGACAGAAGTCAACACAGACTAGAAATTTCTGTTAAAGGTCACAAGAAATTTTGTAAAAGACAAATAAACTTTTTGGCAAAGCACCTTATCCATCTGTCTTCAGTTCAAATGAGAGTATCATTGCCAGATTATTAGGCTGGTTATTAATATTCTGAAGACACATCATGCTCTTAAAAGACATGTCAGCTTCTAAGGGGAT